GATGGCGCAATTTGTTCTAAAAATAGAATTATTGGCCCATATCATGGGGACAACCCCAATACTTGAAATGGCGCGCGCTTACGGTCTCCGTCCCCGATTATGGCTCCTGACTCAGGGTATGTTACTGTTGGGCATCAGTTGAACGGCAAACGTCAGATGACCTTTGGCAACACTGCTGGTGGTGTTGGTCAACGGGGAACCAACTCAGGGTATGTTGTTGTTGGGCATCAGTTGAACGGAAATGTCAGATGATCTTTGGCAACACCGCTGGAGGTGTTGGCCAACAGGGAACCAACTCAGGGTATGTTGCTGTTGGGTATCAGTTGAACGGCAAACGTCAGATGACCTTTGGCAACACCGTTGGTAGTGTTGGTCAACGGGGAACCAACTCAGGGTATGTTGCTGTTGGGCATCAGTTGAACGGCAAACATCAGATGACCTTTAGCGCCACCGGCGGCAATGTTGGCCAACAGGGAACCAACTCAGGGTATGTTGCTGTTGGGTATCAGTTGAACGGCAAGCGTCAGATGACCTTTGGCAACACCGCTGGTAGTGTTGGTCAACAGGGATCTAACTCGGGGAATGTTGCTGTTGGGCATCAGCGGAACGGCCGAAAATGAATAAAAAAAAATTCAATAAGTGAGATCGAAAAGCTTGATCGTGTCCCTTTTTTTGTAAACGGCTATAAAAATAATGCCGAAAGTCTACTTCATCACAAAATATTAATTATTGTTATTATTGGTATTATATTCTAGATATATTTATAACAAAGAGTAAGATTTTCAATCCACATTGCCACGCTCTGATCGTAAAATTCCACATTTTTAGTGTTTTAACAAGCGTGAGGGTACGCTTTACTCAAATTTGCTACAAAAAAGCTGTCTGAATGTCTTGAAAACTGCTGTTCGTAGTTCACGGAGTCGCCAGCAGTACAAGATTGGATTAATGGACGAGTTCAGGAAGATCGCAGTATTCGCAAATTTCCACTCAATATTCCAGTTCTTGAGAGACAAATTATAAATTGCCAGGGAAATAACTTTAGGAAAATAACAAACAACTATCACTATGAAAAATAGAAAAGTATTCATGACACTTCTTCTCAGACGAGTCATGGTCATGTGTGCTATAGTATCTGAGCCGCATTGTACTGCTTGTTGTAGACAATGAATCTGAATTTGATGGCGGCGAACAATTTGGTAAATTCTAATGTAAAAAGCTACCGATGTTAAGAGACACGTGCAGATTCCGGTTGCCATAATGTATAGATAGACAGTCCGGTTCCAGTAACTAATGGCCATGAGGAAGTTGAAAAGACACACGCATACTACTAAATATATGGCGCGAGGGGTAGTCATAACAGTGGGATATCGCATGTGATAGTGAAGAGCCACATATCGATCGAAACATATCGCTGTCATGATACAAAGAGAAAAACCACAGGCAGCATATGCTGTTATTTCCAGAGGTACCTTAACGAGATGCAGTTGTGTTAGTTCTATAGCCATGAAGAGCGGTTGCACGATGAAACCAACAAGGAAGTCTGAGACAGCGAGACTGCAAATGAAGACCATCGACGGTGAATGAAGTGAAGGAGATCTTTTGATAGTTGCTAAGACCAATAAATTGCCAGTGATAGATACAATGATGAGAAGTGCAACTATGGAGCAGTTAATAATGACAGTGGTTTCGACACTAAAAGTATGGTTTCCTTTGCCGCTTCTACTGTCGCTATCGTAGCTCTCCATTCTCAAGAATTGTCAGAGTTTACGAAGGTGACCAATCAGGCCACTCGCTGTTTTAACGTTGCTCCTCTAAAGCTTGAAATCTGTTAACAATACTCCTTTTATCTCGCAGAGAATCAAGCGACTGTATAACTTCGCGGAATAATAGTCTCGAGGTGGGTAAACGAGGTTTTATTAAGTAAATGTATTCATGACGTTTTGCCAAAACCATCTGTCATCCCGATAAAATGATAAATAATTGATTACCTGTGAAACTATCACAAAATGACTAGAAATGACCCACTGTTATATTCCATTGGCTTAAGTATTCGTCTTTTGACGCGACTTTTATAAATATAGATTAAAAATAATGTAAGAGTTAGCTAATAGAATTCTAACCGTCTCACTTTTACATCCTGTTTCACAGGCTTAAAAGGGGAACGTTTCATTTCGCAATATAACACGTCACAAGATCGCCATAGTTACCTGCGTTTTGTGACAGCCGAAGCCTTTATACAGAGGGTTACTCCGCTTTACGTTCACAATTTTAGTGGTGGTAACATAACATTGTGAAATATGCGATAGGGAATTATGTCAGCGTGGGAAATGTCGTCTAAATTTCATTCATAACGCACGTGACCAAACAATGAATCGAAATTAAGAGAGTGCTGCGTTATAGAGTAGATGATATGTAATTATTATTGCTGAAAACTAATCTATAATTAAAAAGATGTGTATTTGACTTTCAAAATTATCCGCTCAAAGTTGTTTACTTGATGCCTATTGAATTGATGTGGGTTTGGCTTCAGCAATCTTAATTGAACCTTTGTGAAAGAGAATCGCGAAATTGCGCTCATTGCTATACTTAGGCTTGATCACAATTAGGGGAACGAACAGGTTGAATAGTTTAAGAGGAGTATTTTTCATCGTTTACCTTGTCAAAAGGAAATATGTATATTGTCTTGGTGCCCAAATGCGCTTCCATATGCCATACTGAGGTGCTCACCCCAGTTAAAAATCTTATATCAGGTTGAAAAATTCCGGTTTCCACGCAAATTAATGAAAAGCGCCCCACAATAACTCATAACAGTTTAGTTACAAAGCAACGGCTTGCCCAATTCCTTTGTACGTGAAAGCACTCATTATTTGACTTCTTCATATTTATTTCAGTGACTGGAGTGTGTTTGGCTTTCAAATTATCATCTCAAACTGAAGGTGTTTGCTTAATGCTGATTGAGTTGTTGTAGATTTTGGCTTCACCAATCTCAGTTAAACCTTTGTGAAAAGCAGATAAATTGCTCTCATTGTGTTATTCTGGCTTCACAATTATGGGAACGAACAGGTTAAATCAAAGTTGCACCGAAAAGGAGTATTTCGTCATCGTTTATCTTGTCAAAAGGAAATATGCTTTTGTGCCCAAATGTGCTTCCATGTGCCATACTGAGCTTATCCTCCTTTAAAAAAAAAAAAGAAAAAAAGCAACAAACAGACAACCGGACAAAGCAAAAAAGCCCAAACTCTTCGCAACCTTTCGTGAACCAAAATTACAAAACGGGACTATTTTGACTCCTGATACTTATCAAGAGACAAGGGAGAGAAGAGGGCTTTTACCAGCTGCTACCGCAAAATAACAGTTTAAAGTATAGTGTATAAGTTTCTATAAAGTCTGAGAACTTAGTTACATCTGCTAATAGACCTTCAACGAGTATTGCTAATTCCCCCTCGTCGTAAAATTTCCCCTCCCCGTAAAAGACGTATTTTTATTGATGGAAAATATATTAAAGGGAGGTTAAAATAAATTACGCAGGCATTAGGCTACGATATCAGATTGGAAAAATCCTATTTTTCATTCACTTTAGTTACAAAGCAACGACCTGCTCCATTCGTTTGTGAAAACATTAATTCTTATATTTTTTAAAAGCAACCATGATATAAATTTTCATCACTGTCGTAGGTGGACCAGGTCACGTGCCAAAACATCTCCTATAAAACCGGAACTTCGAATCCACGGCCCTTTCTTCCTGCCCTATACGGTGATGTTTTGGCACGTTCCTTGGTCAACCCAAGTTCAAGCGACAAATAGATTCCCGCCATATTTACTTGAGATAGATGCTGTGAAAGCGTCGAGAGCTTGTGATCGCTGAAACAATGACCCCGCTTCGGTATCTCGTTTTTGTGAGATTATGCAATATTAGTGCGTAATCTCCATATAGTTATCGGCTCTCTTGAAGGTTTGAGGGTTTTATGAAACCTGAGAATCACTC